TGATATCTTTAAATTTTTGTTTATTATTGTCAGAGGAGATGAAGCGTCTTCTGATTGGTTGTTTTCTTGCTGAAGGTTATTGTGTTATTGCTTTTGTGAACGTTTATCAGAAAATGAAGCCATATATCTGCGAATAATATTTCCACACGTTGATTCCGCCGTAATTAGTTGGTGACTTTCTGAAGGTTAGGCTTTGTTATCGTTTTTCTCATGACCCTGATTCGGGACGTGAACATTGACGTAAATTGTTGTCTGCAATTTTGGCTTGTTCGCAGCCAGCTCTCACCACACTCACCCCTGCCGTCAAATAGGTTCACATGTAGGCGTTGCAACCTTCTGAGCGATACATTCTCTCATTGATGATTGTTATGGGTCGGCTTGTCCCACCATATCTATCGTTGGACCTGACTGACGTTAACATGTTTCTGTTTGTCACCTCTTCTGATGGTATATGCCTGACCCCATCTTTTTGTGACTGTGTATGGTCCTTCCCACTTTGGAAGGAGTTTTCGTGAACTTGGCCCGCATCCAACTTAATACCTTCTGTCTCTACACTTCACTTGACCCCGACGGCGAAGGTAATGCGCTGAGTCTATTTTTTCTGCTCAAACTTCGCGGCATCGCTTCGCTGCTTCCGCGTTACATTCTTGACTGCTTCCTTCTGTTCTACTCAATTTCGTCATACTGCACTTTTGGTGAAGGGGCCAGGTCTCGTTGTGTATCGGTAATTGTCTTCTACCATACATCAGTTGAAAAGGTGACCTCTTCGATGTTTCCTCGGCGGTAGCATGATGAGATAGTAGAATTAGTGGAAGTTCTGTCTCTCAGTTACCGCTCATTGGGGCCAGCCACTTTTTCAGTTTACGGTTGTTTCACTCTGTCAAGCTATTCGTTTGTCGATGATGTGGGGTCATTCTGATCTTCTTGATGCCCAGCTGGTGCAAACGGGACGTTAATTCCTCACTTGCATAACGGTGATCTTGGTCTGTCAGTATCGTCTTTGATACGCCACGGTCTGCAACTATGTGTCGAACTACTGCATCTGTCACAGTCCTTGTGCGTTGGTCTGGGATTGCAACGGCATCTTCCCTTAGTTTCTCGTGTTCCGTTACCGCAGAGAGGTACTGATTAGCACTTGATGTCTGAGGAAATGGACCCACTGCGTCCACGGACCACAAGTCACCTATCACCATAACTGGAATCGACTGTGGCGGTGGTCGTATGCACCGGTCACCTTTCATTAGGTGCCACCGTGGACATCCAAGTACATATCTTGCCACATCCTTTCTCATACCTGGCCAACACATACTTTGTTTTAACAGGTTGGTTGTTCTGACCACCCCTGTGAGTGCTAGCTGGTGACACTATAGTGCGACGAGACCAAGGGGAAAATGGGGGATACATCCAATGCTGCGAAAGCACACCTCGAACCATAAGGAGGCAGCAAACTAAGGCTTTAATACGTCCCCAAACTTCAGTGGCACTAGAGCGATGCAGTTCTGAGAATAACAGTCTTTGTCACCCAATTGTCCCGCCTAAATCCATGGAAAAAAACCACAACGGGCCGGTTTCATTGGAATCGGCCAACTAGTCCCAACATTAAGTCCCCTACCAGCAAACAGCTTCACGTCAACTTCCCCAAAACACGCTGAGGTTGTAAGACTCACTGTCAGCTGCCTATATAGCAATGTGAGGGGGCTGAGAGGAAAAATAGGTGAACTGCGAAATCTCCAAACACACCTGCAACTGAAAATGATCATTTTCACTGAAACCTGGCTAACTCCCACTATCACCGACAACGAAATCAGCATAGGTGATATGGTTGTGGTCAGAAGAGACAGGGATGATAAGGAACAAGGGGGAGTTGCTATATACTTTGACAGGCAACTTAAATGTGTGCGCGCAACGGACCCACCACTTATTGAACTCCCAGACTCTGTATAAGGTCATTTCACCGTAGGCCACACCAAGCATTTACTTGGTGGCATCTACCGATCAACCACCTTTGGGGCAGAGCACAACTAGCTACTGCTCAGCACTATCACAGGGATACGAGACTTGGGCTTTGACCAAATCACCATAGCTGGAGATTTCAATGCCCCATCACTGAACCTTGGCTCGGGGTATGCTAAGGGAAAATTCGGCCTAAGTCTACTGCAAACTATTCGAAACACTGGACTGACTGAGAATGTTAGAGACGACACTAGGTGGGGCCCTAGTGGAAAGTCATCAAAACTAGGCTACATTCTAACTAGTGACCAACTACTCGTCGAAAAGGTCCAGATCATGACTACTCTAGGAAGCAGTGACCATGCAGTCATAGATTTCGATCTCGTTCGCCGTGAGCATTTGCAGTGGGACGCTACGCGACCATGTCTGCGTTATAGCAAGGCTGACTATGCTGAAATGCGGAGGCTCTTGTCCTACTCAGAATGGCCCTTAGCATGGGATGAGCTATCTGTGGATGAACACTGGAAAGCGGTTGAAAAATTATGCATACAGTAATCTTGGATACCGTCCCTTTAGTCACAACACAGCCCAAAAGAGAGTCATCATGGTTGAAGAGAGGCACGCAAAGTATTCTGCAAGCAAAGCGGAAGGCTTGGTTTACATGGCGCGTATCTAAGATTCAGGTCAACCACGACGCATACCTGAAACTTGGGAACCGGTGAAACGTGAGAGTCAGAAGTGACAGGAGGTCATTACAGGCTAACGCCGGAAAACTCCTAGCAGACCTCAAAACTTTGTGTCGATTTATGCCGGAAAGAAAGCCAACCAACCGGGAGGCATGTGCCTTAGTCGGCTCAAACGGTCCATACCTTACTAATCTGGAGATGACGGAGACATTCAGTTTAGCCTTCGCCAAACAGCTAGACAACAATGTTGGTATTACCGTTATGAAGCAAAAGGGTGGCACCACTATTTCACAGGAGGAAGACCTAGTGGCTACTCCCCAAATAAACCCGGCAATGGTACTAAGGAAGCCATAACGACTCACACCTGGGAAGTCCCCAAGTTGTGACGACATCCTACATTGATAGGAATTATTTTTTTTATTATCAGGCCATCTGTTCTGAAACAGTGCGCCGAAGCTCTCTGTAGGCCCTTGTGCGACTTGTTGCAACACTCAATGGATTCGAGGAAACTGCTAAGGGAGTGGAAATGAGCCATCCTTTCTCCGATCTTCAAGGGTGGGGACAGGCAAAATGCCACTAGCTATTGACCAGTAGCTGTACCCTCATTGTTATAAAAAGAACTAGGAAGTATTATTGACGATCACATCAGGGAACATCTCGATAGGTGTAATATACTCCATGAAGCCCAACACGGTTTCAGGAAAGGCAGATCCTGTGTTAATAACCTACTATCAGCTTGGGACGATTGGACATCATGCTGAGATGTGAATGTTCCAGTTTCTGTGGTCTTCCTAGACTTTGAGAAAGCATTTGACACAGTTCACCATGACCTTCTCCTGCAAAAATAAGCCAGGCAGGTATAGGTAAGCCACTTCTGTCATGGTTAAAGGACTACCTAGCTGAAAGACAATTTTGCACTAAGGTTAATCGAGTCCGATCATCTTGGCACAGCTCGTCATCAGGAGTGTCGCAGGGTTCTATCCTAGGGCCGCTGATGATTTTGATTTTTATCAGTGTTCTGCCATGCCGTCTAAGCTGCCCGACAGTTCTATACGCTGACGACGTGAAGATATGGAGGGCGATAAAGTGCCCGGAGGACTCAAATAGGCCGCAGGAAGATCTAAACCATCTGGAAGACTGGGCGGTGGCCACTGGCATGACTTTAAACCTGAAAAATTGCAAAGTAGTGAAGTTACGCATCTGTAGACTGCAGAATGCAAGTTACACCCTGTGCAATGAAAGCTTGTCATGCGCAACGTCGGAACGCGACGTTCTAACGGAGAAAATGGACACAAGCGTAAATTACACGGGGGACGTAGCGAGGGCATATGCGGTCATACACTTTACACATAGATGGTTAAGTGCACTCACTCCTGAGCTCTTTTATAAGGTTGTACAAAACATACATCAGACCACACGTTGAAGTGCAAATTATTATCGCACCCTCATTGCTTAGGAGAGACGCCTCTTGGAAAGAGCCCAACGACGGGCAACAAAAGGAGTGGTTGGTCTCCGAAATAAACCATATGATGAAAGGCTGAAGAAATTAGGCCTATTCACACTTAGTTACCGTCGTCTTCGAGTGGATTTGATTACTGCCTACAAAATAACAAATGGTCAGAATCAGCCAAAAAAGGTGTTCTGACATTGAGTAGGTAAAGGCTTTCTCGTGGAAATCTCAGAAGGATAGCTCACAAGAGGGCAAGGACCCGGGTGCGCTCCCACTTCTTTTCACTGCGGGTTTGCCATCCCTGGAATTCGCTACCGGCAGATGTAGCTATGGCACCGTCTGTGGACGCCTTTAAGGGAAGGCTGGAAAATCATGCAGTATCCAAATGGCCTATCCCCTTAAAATCGCATACACCATTCAAGGGTAGACAACTAAATTCGTCGTTTTACTTCTTTACATTCTCTTCCGTCTTTCTCTCCTGACAACTTTTAACTACACTTATTAGTATTATTATCATTATTACCGATATATGTATGAATATATTATTCACATTATTCTTCAAATTTAATCAGCTGACTGTTGTTACGTTTTCTTATTTCTTTTTCTGTCTGTTAGTCTGAATAACTTTACTAATTATATCTATTATTATCATCTATTTTCTTTTGACGACGATACCGGAGGACAAACTGGTGAGAGGATCAACTCTATTCACAGTAGTAACAGTCTTAACACACCTCATACTACAAACCACATATAATTAATCCCTGCACTACTCCTTTTGGAGTCAACCAAAGCTACGACAGTCGAGTGGCGGGACGAGCTACGCAGACGTTTACCGAAGATCAGGAACTTATACCTCACAATCAAGAGGCGAGCACAAAGAAATGAAATTAGTTTATACTATCTCGTAAAAACGATATTGGATATTGGACAACCCGGGTTATTTGAACCTAAAGTTAGGGCGCGTAAGTCGAAGTTTTGTATTGTGTACTGTAAGTTGTCTTACTGGCTTTGCAAAGCATTTTTTTACTTATCTTGGTGGTTATTATGTCATAGAAGAAAGTATTTAATAAAGGAGAGGATGAGAGTTTTCCGTGGGAATCTTCTTACGCAACATTAATAATGTGACTTGGTAAAGACGTGTTACTGACTGGCCACAGTTTAGTGTTATTATCTCTTCCAGTTAATGGTGAATATAAAATAGAGCAGCTATTATTTGGTACATATAGAATAACTTTGTAACCTAATCGTATTGACTGGTTTCTAAGACTCATATATTTGTTTATTACTCCAGATATAAAGACACTCCTACTCCTTCTTTAGTACTTGAATGAATTTTTTTCCGATTAGCATTATAGATTATTCAATATCTCGTCAAAACTAAGGAATAGAATCAAAGGTTTTGTTTGGTGGAGTTTTTGGTAATGGTAGCCAGAATTTAACACCGCCCTCTTGTGAGGATGTTTTCAGCTTAAATGTAAAGTAGTTCAGTAATGACAGTTTAAATCACAGAATAGCAACTCCTGTAGGTAGGTTGTTAGGCTTAGTGCATAGCTTCTCTGCCAAAATGCAGACAATATAACTGCTATTGTGTATGTTTCATCTATGTTTGTTACTAATGATGAGATTTTTCACTAAATAACAGGATCTCAGACACACAATTTCTTATGTAGTCGGTAAATTAAAGATGTACTTTCAAGAGTGACGATGTAGTTTGTGGACTTAAGGCTAGTGATGCATTAAGGGTTTTGTGACTCCAGTCACTTTTAAGGTCCTACGTAAATCTGGCATGTGTTACAGTTGCTTACGTACAAATTCAAAAAATAATCGATTGTATCTCTCATTGATGTTCCTCGAGTCTCGTACATTTATTACTTTATTGATTATGATTCCTTGAAAATGCCTGTATAAATATGGATATCCAGCAGTACTTTTGAATGAACAATTAACATATTCAAAAGTAAATTACTTCAGTTCCAAGGAAAGTAACCTTTCTAACTAAGTTTAGTTTCCATCAAAAGGATTTTTAAAAATTATTTCGTCTGATATTTAAAGTCTAGTAGTTTATGTTAAAGGTGTATTAGCTGAAGTGAGGCAGTTATTTCAATGCACAATCCTAGATAAAGATAAATCGATTCAATTTGACACACTAAAAGAACAGAAATAATTAGAATAAAAGTGACATTAATTGCTTGAAGACTAGAGATTTTCACGACTTTGAAGATGACAACTCGAATACATCTTTACCACTGTTAATAACTTTGGTTATTTCATCAGAAAGCTTCAACTACCAACTGTTAGCACCATGAATACTCTAAAATAGCAGAGTGATGCTACAGACATAGTTCGGGTAATGTTCCCGTCTGACTTCTGAACTTTCCTCTGACGTAATTGAAGTAAGTTAATATTGCCTATCAACATGTCTAACAAGACTAAATTTTGTGCGTAGTCTAGAACACTAGCATTTCTCTTGGCATTAAGTCAAGTTCTAAAAAATCTTATGCATGCGAATTCACCTTGAAGTCACAAAAAGTTTTAAAAATAATGAAGTTGGGCTCCTCTGATGTGTACTGTTCTTTAAGAGGGTGTATCATTATCATCCCAAGAAAAGTGGTTGGTCACATTTGTCTCTGTTAATTTGACTTCATCCTTAGTCAGGACAAGCAAATGCTTTTGACTTTTTCCTTTAAATGTCCTCTCAGTTGTGACCACGAATTAACGACGGTGCTTTTAAATGGACTCGACAGTCTCTGATTGAGACTGTCTTTCCTTATGTTTAAAGTTAGATCTGTTTACGGTTTGGAGATTTTCTACTGTCTATTGGTATGAGACTTCGCAGACATTCCTGACGTCATTCTGCCTAGATGGACGTTGATATCACCTAATAATATAACCATGTAGTCACTAAATTGGCAGCTCCTGATAATGTGTAGCTGTTACTTCGAGTAGCGATCGGTGGTATGTGAGCGGAGAGTACGAAAAGTCATTGACAAGTATGTCGATAATTCAGTATGCCTGCAAACTTTTGTACCCGAAAAGCGAGCGAATATCTGATATCGTTGAGCACTTGGATTCCTTATCCAAACAGTTAATCACAAGTGGATGTTTTAAGGGTGTTTCGAAGATACGACATACATACCACTGTCAAGGTGCTAAAGTTTTGGCTAGTAAGGTCGTCTTTCCTATTTAGCTAGGATTTCGCCACTGACGTTTGATACCATGAATTTAAAAGGGAAGGGATGATGCTTTTTAGGCTCAAGCTGTTTGTAGCGGTTACAGAGTTAAGAGAAATATTATTAGAAATGGCAAAAGGTAAAATTTAAGGAAAGCAGACTAGCAGCAATGAAGAAAAGGTTCTGATATGAGCATGTGAGTGACATTCTTTCCAGCTGCTTACTATGGAAGTTGATATTAAGATGACAAACCATAGTTACTCTGAGTGATTTCCCAATTACTGTTGTAGCTTTTACAAAACTTCCAAAATATGCTGATGACTAAAGGGTATATTTACGTGTATAGGATGTAGATTAGGTTGGTATTTTTAAGGATATTATAAATGTCCTCCACTGCTTTATCAAAGCCAAAAAGTCAGCTCTCCCTGAAGGGTTATTTTTGTTTGAGATTAATTTCCAAATTTCCCAAGCCTTATTCATTCTTCCTGTCAGCGGATGGTCTGTACTCTGAATGACTCTCCACAGGCTTTAAAGTCTTTCTAATTTCTAATATTGACTGATTAAAAGGTCGTGTGTTTTACTTTATTAAGACTGTGCATGTAACACTACCTTATAACAATAACAACTCTTTTGAAGTAAATTTATGTAGAATTCTTCATTAATGTTAACTGGAACATAAATGAGTTCTTTACAAATAACAACGTAAGTGTATGGATAATGCTTATTTTAATTCTAAAACATAACCTTTTATGATATGACATAATTCCTTTTCTGCATTAGGATCATGTCAAATAAATTACTTTTTGGAAAGTCTCTTACCTCATATGATGAGGAAGATCTTGACGAGTTGTTATCCAAACTCACTCAAGAAGAATTAGAACAGTTAAATGATGATTTCGATCCGGACAATTCTCTGTTACCACCATCACAACGATGCCGTGATCAAACTACCAAAGCTCCAACTGGACCCTATGATCGGGAAAAGCTAATCAGGTGATAATTCATTGTTTATCTTTTTTTAGTTTTGGCTGTGATCTCTGTGTGTTATCCTCGTCGTCACATTAGAATATCTGGTTGCACTTCATGTTCCTAGGAAGAATTGTATTATTTTAGCCCTAGAGATGCTTCATTTGTGTTGGTAAAGGAACTGTTTGTTGAATTTTCCCAGAACAAGCATAACTTACTCTGTGCTACATATTTAAAATTCTTTAAAAGAAAGCCTTTGGTGCGGCTTGATCACCTAGTACAGGTTTTGTTTTGTGTTTGCTTATTGATAGCCAATAATTCTAATTGGAATGGAAACTTACTCAACAACCACTTGCAATTCCATGCAGTTGGCAACGAGTCACAGCTATTGTTTGTGAAGGTTAGTGATACTAGGTGGCCTCCCACACTTCACTAAGTGGGGCGGGATTTGAGTTCGTAACCCACTGGTTGGAAGTCCAATGAAGCATATCTCCACATAATTCTAATTAGCCATCTGGGCCTAAGTAGGTGGAGTGGAGTTTGGAAGGCACTGGTTGAAATTCCTGTGCACTTAAGCCAATGACGTAGAACTTCGTTTTTATGACTTTGGTGTTGTTTGACTAATTCGTTGAGTATAATTAACGCGAGGCTGGCTGTAAAGTGATTTTCTGGAATGGATTTATGTTAAGTTATTCTGGATAAGTGTTTTTTTGCATTAATTTATGAAAAAAGTACACATTGTTTCTCGTAAGTTAGTTTTTAGATTATTGTGTTACTCGTTGTTTACCAGCCACCCGCGTGGTTGGGGTTCGATTCCTGGCCGATATCCTGCTGAACCTCGTCTAGCCTGCAGTAAACTTGCTAAAGAGGGGAGGTTTGGTGTGAGGCTATCAACATCGCCCAGTGGAAAGAGGCCGTCACTTTGTAGAATTTAGAGCGCAAGCTCGAAGCAGTATGTTCCACTGGGAATGAACAAACTTATCCCTAGTGAAATTGTCAACTGTGTTAATGTTCCACTGATATTTTAGACCCAGATATGATAGTTAGGAGTGGTGATGTTTTTACTAGTTCATGTGGTTTTTTGTTGACAACTAAAATGGATTCATTAGCAAACACTCAGGTTGTTTTGATGTAAACAGGATGACTAGGTTTCGTTTGCAGACGAGAATGAGTACTTTTTTGATTCATTTTCAGGTGATTGTGGACAATTAACGATATATACAACTAGCTCCGTTTTTGTACATTCAGTCCCGCCACAGTGGATTATGTCTTAAATAATTCAAAGTGTGATGTCTCCTTCGGGGAACAATGAATAACTCTTCTTTTCGAGATTATAAATGTCTTACTACTGAGTGTCTGGTACGCTTCAATTCTTCGTTCAAAGCTTTTTGCCGATTTCCTCTGACGATTATATAGTAACATTCCGTGTATTGGGATGGCACATCTCCTATCTATATGACATTAAGAAAACTTAAGGGTTACTATCGAGCACTTGATCAATTATTGAGCAGACATTTTTAGACACCTAAAAAATATCAGATTCTTTAGGTGACTCTTATTATAACCATAGATTCATGATTAATAAGGACATTGATTTATTTTGTAGACGAATGTTTCTTTTGAGTAACTTTATTATCAAAGCATATATTCCTGGTGATACTTTGTACAAAAACTGTTAGTCGCTCTAAAATTGTCTAGTTAGTTCACAAAAGATAAATAACTGACACGAATGTTGACGGACGCAGACTTACTTTACTTTACTTTACTTCGTCTATCTCCTACGGGAGGATGAGCCGGCTTCATGAACATCTCGAATCATCGCTGCCCAAGCGCGGCGATCTGATGCAAGGTTTTGCGACAGGGTTATCCAATTCCTGTTCCACAGACGGAGTCCGTAGACGGTTTGTAGCCCCAGGCACTCCATATCAGCCTTGACTGTACCAAGCCATGTTTTCAGCTGTCCACCCCTGCGACATCGCCAAGATGGTAATGGCGAGGGATTTAGAACTGATTTGACCAGATCGTCATCTGGTCGGCGCAGAACATGGCCAAACCACCGAAGGCGACGTTGTTGGACCAGTACTGGAGTAAGAGAGTTCATGAAGTTTCATGGGAATTTGGTACGAGTGATGTCCCCAGAATCGCTCGGCCTTTTGTTTGAGAGTGCAGCTCTAGCCTTTACACAACCAAGTGTGACCTGCAAGGCAGTAGGAGTGGAGTAGGGAGTCCACTATCCATTGGCAGCCGGTGACCGGAGTTCGGTGTTGATTAAATAATATTACGCCAACCAAAGTCGATCATGTTGACTACTGCGTCTCCTTAAATCTCACAAGTGTAATCCTATCAACATGTGAAACAGTGGTGAATACACATTTAGATGTGAACGTAAGTGATAATTTATCCTTCACGCATTGTCGAATCGTCCTCCAGCTGGAGTATGACAGGTGTAAATCAGTAGCTAAGTAGGTGGATGACTTTGGTTATGCTCTCTCTGTAAATCCTATTTTCTTGATAACTGTGTCCTTTGTCACTATGATTAGTTTTGTTTCTTTGGATATTGACCAACCTTCAAAAATGTCTAGTATGTTACGAGTTTTGTTCACAAGTAAATCTAAGTTCTTTGTCAATCATGTCTTTGGAGTGCATCTTCAAAATTCTAAAGCATGGAGACACTGAATTGTTCTTTCGGAGACTTAATTACATTGACTAAAATAATATGGTTCTAACAGTTCAGCAGTAGGGAGAGAGATTTGGTTTATTGCTGCGACTTTCTGCATTAGTCTGTCTGCTGGTCTTATTAAGTATTGCATTTGATTTCTGATACCTGGGTGATAATTTCACAGTTCTGTTCACTCAGGGTGATTTGCAAGTGTTGGTTTACAGGAATTCGATTGACTTCAAGACTGATCACTAACTGACTCCAGTTGGCGAACCATTGAAAACCAGAGAGAACTGGACAACTGTTTCGTACTTGTTTGGTACTCTTCATCAGTACGCACCCATGACCTTATAGGGCATCCGATCCCAGGACTTTCAGGTCACAAGACGAGGTTGTTGACCGTCCAGACACTGAAACGGAATCCAATGGCCCATCAATTCTACCTTCTATCAATTTGCGATATATATATATATATATATATATATATATATATATATATAAATCGTGGCCACCAGCCAATATCATCGGCTTGTCTTCACGTCAAGTGTAGTGAACTTAACTGATCACCACGTGTCACTAGAAGTCCAGACAACTCTGTCTTGTAGTTAGTCACTAGTGTACATTAGATTAGGGGGATTTAATTAGTCAGGTCGTACATACCTCCTACGTTTTAGACGACAGGTATCCCTAATGTTATGAAATGTAACTGAGCAGCTGTACTATTCATGTTCATACACTGGATACTGAACCACACTTATTATACAATAAATGACGTCACTATTGGGTTACTCAGACCTCTGTAGATAGGCAGCTTAATAAACAAGCAGTAACACTCACTCAGTTAAATGTATATGTATGTGTATTTATTTATTTATTTTTAAACACAGATATCTTATCGAGAAAGCCAAAGCTGAAAAGGATTGGGAAGAAGCTGTACCCTATGAGAAAAAGACTAGAGGAAGAATTTTTACTCCAAAGCAAAATCTATCAGAAAATGCTCAAAATGAGTTATCTGATATGGGCTTCGATGTAGAATTTGATGAAGATGTTAACAAGGTAAATTGAATTCTTGAAATAATAATAATAATAGAGAAGATTTATAGCTCAAGTGGATAATTTTCATATGACTACATCCTCCTCTCTATGTGATTGAATTGCGTAGCTTTCATTTTCTCCCTCTAGACAACATCTTCAATTTACATTTCAATGTGAATTGAACTTATTTGAATTCTACACGAATGATATTAATTGACTTGGTAAATGTGGAAATTTTGAACAGTGAAAACATTAAAAATCTCAGGGAAAATTTGTAGACACCTAGTACTCGGATGAATCAGGGATTAGCAGATGTATTATTGTTATTATTATTATTTTGATCAAATTTATCAACTAATAAAGAGGAATAAGGCCACATGGTAAACAATTTTGAATTCCAAGTCGTCGATAGAACCGATCAATAGTAATGCAGATTAACAACCAATCACGACTAAGGTTGTCACGGTATATAATAATAATATCGTTTATGACGAATTCAAATAAGTTCACTTCGTATTTGAAGTCTATGCTGAAAATGTTGTCTAGTTGGAAAATGAAAGCTTCGCAATAATAATAATAATATAGCTTTATTCTGAACAATGTTTATAAAATGTACGGAATTTCCCGCGAAGTTTATTGCATGATAATTTCCCTTCGTCCTGGATCTTCAAATGTGACATAGTTCTATCTGATCTGGAGAGCAAACCAATCTATTATGATATATCCTGTTCTTCGCCCTCGAGAAATACACGACATTTGGCTGAATGTCGATTATAAAAGGTTCAGGAGTACATTTTGTGAACCAAGGACACCATTCAGGAATGATCATTTCATGTATTGGGTTAAGGTGTCATCGAGGATCATGCTTTTTCACCTCATGTTTATTAGAAATTCGCGAATCAGTAGCTTGTTATTGTTTTAAATACTCGCCAGAGGTTGTACTAGATTTAAACAAAGTGAATAAGAGGCATTATACACAATATATTAATGGAGGCTTTTCGGTAGCCGAAGTTTTAAGCAGGCCGCCCAATCAACCAGCTCAAAGAATTCAAACATATCAAAAAGTAACTGAGTTCGTATGTGTCTCAAAACCACAGTATCTCATCACTGATTTGAAGAATAAAACTTTTAATAAATACTTCATCGATTGTTTATACATCCTCGTAGTTTATCCAATGAACTCTTATTGATTTTTAGGAACTGAGTTATGCTAAAGAGCTCAAAGAGTGGTAGTCAGTATGCTGAACAATAATTGTACCGTGTGCATTTTTTATTCAGCGCTTACTCCCTAAAAGTAGTAGTAGTAGTCATAAACATTACTATTATACAGTCTAACTGACTGACTGACTGATGGAGTTTCAACATAGAACTTTACACAGAAGTACAGCAGTTCAGGTTGTTACACTACACAAATAACACACAAAGGCACAGAAAAGACAGATTCAAAAGAACTGTGATTAGCAGAAGTATGCAGGAGAGAGAATAGTAACTATGCGAAAACATAAGGGTTTAACAGATCTAGGAGATTGCAGAAAGTGAATGCATCTCTGCAACTGAGGACGATTTTGAACTATATCACCAATAATTTTGTTCATGCATGGGTTACTAAGCTTCGATTCGAACAATGTGTACATTTATTGAAAAACGTTCACATAACACTTTCGTCTTGGTAGGTATATAGCTCATGGTTGATCTTCATACCATCTGCAATGTTACATTTTGCTCTGTTTGATTCACTTTTTTGTCCTGAGGCCTAGTTTATGCTCTGTTATACTATGTTGACCATCCTTTGCACTTTGCTCACCTTGTTTCTCACTTATTACTGCCACACTTCATTACTAATTATTATTTTAATTACTAACCGAAAATAAAATGCTTAATTCTTATTTTTAAGGCTCTTGAAAATGCTACAGAAGATGAATTAGTCGATTTGGCTGCAGTTCTGGGTTTCACTGGGATGCTGAATCAAGTACAATTTCATGCCAGTTTAGAAGGTCGTAAAATGGAGTTCGGTGGATTTTCCGGTGTAGCTAAAGCTGAACGTCCAAAAATTTTACCAGATGAACCGCCGAATTCTACTGATGTAGAGGTGAGATTTTTATTTGCTTACATTCACTTAAACAATTACTCAACATTTAGTTATTTTAATGTAGCATTATATCATCTAGACTATGTAGAGTCAATCTGAGGTGGCTGGCTGACTGAAGTAAGAATTTCTCCTTAGTGAAGTCACTCTCTCTGTTTACCTAGGTTGTCAAGCTGCAACTGGAGATTCATATCAATATAGTGGATCTACCCTTTTTGCAGATATGATCAGAAAAAGTCAAAGTACATTCTTCAGTGGTAGCTGCTTTGGACTGTTTAATCGCCATTTGGTATAATCGAGACCAGCTGACGCCCGTAAGGTGAATTTTGCATATTCACCTTGTTAGACAGGTGGGGTTCAATTGAATAACCACACTGGGGTCTTGTATGCGTGTCTCCGAACCTCAACATGCATGCATGACATGGCTCTAGATGATGACAGAGTTGTGACTAGTGATGCCTGTTGTCTGATTAGGTAGAGGGTGCTGATGACGTTGAATGCGTCAATGTTAAGCTGTCAGCGTGGCTTTGAGAGACTCCCAGGAGTGTTTTTCTGGTTGTCATCGCTATTTGTTGTGACAGAATGAGAGGAAGATGACTGCTCAGCCTGTTGAATAGTGGTGACAGTAGTAGGAAAAGAAGAAGAGGGTGATGTTGATGAAGGCGAATGATGATGATGCTGATGATGGTGAGGACTTTGTGTGGTTTTGTAAGTGTGTGGACGGTTATTACTTCCCGGCTGGCCACATCGTGGAAGTTGATTTTTTTCTTGGGGTACCTGAAACAGAGAATTAGTGTTGCGTGACCGCAGAGCCCAGCAGACAACTGCTTGAGGCCGATCAAACAGCCTGTCTGAACTGGCTTCTTGGATTGGTTCCGTATTAGTAAATTTACCCCCGGTTACGGACCACCGTAGGGTAAGTCGGGATGTACCATTTTTGGGGTTGACCTTTTCTAATCCCTTCTCTCCAGAGTTGCGAGACAGCGTAGCTGGCATGCTTGTCATCTGTGGGAAACACCTTACTCCTGTTACATCCCTATTCCCCAGCAGTATGACTTTGTCCACAGACCCCTAATATAGTGTAAGAGAAAATCTTACACTATGTCGTTAATTGCTTTTAGTCTAATCGCTATCCTAACAATCTTCCTGGCATGGTAGGACCTGCAGGGACATTATTCCAGCCAGTGTAGATTGTTGGGTCATTGCGATATGCAAACGTAACCACCACGTCAAGTTAGCAGGTATCGGTGGGAATAATCGGGAAGATTTGTAACTCAGATGGGTGTCCTTGATACTGTTGTTTCCTCTGAACCAGTATAGATTACTGGTAACTTCTCTGACTGCAGTACTGAGTGATACAGAATAGAATCTCAGAGGCGCCACTAGTCAAATCCCTTTGTGGAGATATTGACTTATCGACTCAAGCACGTGACTTTCAGCCATCAGAGCTTGGGTTTGAATCCTGCTCCATCTATTTCAGTCCGGAAAACTGGGTGGTATCATCAGATCCACACACTATTATTGTGGCTCACAGCCTGAAACATGGAATTCCTCTCCCGAAGCCTGAATTCAAACAATAACTGAACCAAATGGTTTAATTACAAGGCTTTCATTTCAAACAAAACTGTCATCTTTAACTTCAAAACAAAGTGAACCTTTGTAATTCACTATGATTGTTTGTCTTTATGGTGTTTATCTTATCATTGTGTTCACTTATTCTGGTAGTGGTCATCTCGTTGAAGTGATATTTAATCTTACTCTTCATTGCTTGATAAATCTTATCTATATAAACATTCCGCTTATTTTTAGATTATTCTGAATTGTAGGATTCTAGGAATAATTATCTGGCGCTTTTAATGTTTCGTCGTAATGTTATCGTAGTTGCCCACTCATATTGATGTAAAAGAAGAGATATAATATTTCTTGTCTACCAGTTTAGTACCTATGGATGCAAACATCACTATACAAATTTTAGTGGTACATATTTTCTTATCGTTAGGTAATAGTTTCCCATGATTGTTTATCCACTGAAAATGATCCAACAATCTATGTTGCCTATGTATAAATTGTTTCACATATGATCCTTCTGGCTCACATATGTTAGTTGAATCGCAGGAAGACTAAATTTAGATACCCATCAATATTAAAAACATCCTACAACATAGTGGACAAGTTTGATGCTGAAATAGTATAGTACTGCTGACCTAACAACAGCAACAATATTAGGCGGGGCTGAGCTCATTACCACTGTGCTTGGTTTGTCTCAGTTCAGAGAGTGGAGTCATTTCAAACCCATCCGGATTCTGGCTACCTACCTGGGTGAACTGGTAATACACATTGAACTGAATTCACAATTTGCAAATTAATTCGCTATGCGCAATATTTATACTGTTCTAGGAAGTGAAGTTTCCTTTGGAAACAGAAATTAATCAGATCACAGTATGTAATCTTGTTGATACCATGAGTGGTAATCATAAATGATTAATATTCAAGTGTTGTTTGCAGGGATTTGATTTGTTTCAAGATTTTATCATGAACTGACATCGGTTCTATTGGGGAAGTCGTGACCAGTGACCAGTGGGGTAACAGCAGTTCAGGTATGAGGACAAATACTCGCCAGCGATGGCATTGGCTAGTGCTAGTCGGACCATATCATGAATTGGCAGAAGTTGAAATTCATGGGCTGGCCATTAGATCAGGTCCCAGGGGCTTAATGATCTACGAGCTAGCTTTGTAATCGATTGGAAGGTCGTGGGTGCGTACTACTGAAGAGTCCCAAACTAAGCTGACAAGACAGCTGTCCAGTACTCCCTGCAGGTTTTCCAGTGGTTCTCTAATCGATATCAGTTCATAATGAAGTCCTGACAAACGAGATTCAGTGTCCGACAAAGTTATCAGTAGTGCTAAATGTCTTGTCTTCAGCGAAATTTATATGACACTGAGTAAAGCAAAAGACCTTACAATGATGAGATTTATTCTCCAGTAATAAGTTTGATTTATTGTTTTCATTTCTATAATCGATGAATCCGATCAGGTACATTTTGCTGATGAACTCAGCGGCAAATGAGCGTAGCGTCTATCCGGTGTTTAGATCGCCTCGATCTGGTTGGACAGTAAGCACTACTTGCTTATGTGCATGCTATCCAACTGCTCATATCAGTTGACCTATTGGTGACTGTCATGCCCACTTACGTATTCGGCATTCGAAAGACAGACATGAAGGTTAATCGTGGTTCCCATACATGGCTCTGGTGGTCATACACTTGATAGTTAAAAAAAATATACTAAATGACATGTTATGTGTCGAATAGTTTGCACTTATTAGCTCTCGTTTTTCTCCTCATACACACATGCTCATTAAATTTTCTTTCTGTATTGGATGCTAATTTATTCGTCTTCTCTATGTTCACATGGAGTGCTGTCTTCTCACTCCCCACAGTCTGGTGCATGAGAAGACAGGAATACACTGGACCACCAATAAGAAAACTCTAGAGGATCTGAATTTCGCGTGTGGATAATTCATGTTTAATGTCACAAAAAATCGAAGAATTGCAGGCAAAGACCAACAAACTGGCTGAAGCGGTGAGCACCGAAGACAGGACTCCAGGTGAATATAGAGAAGATGGGGTTGTTGAAGATAACCGACCAACAACAAATGCCAGCACCAATCACCATCAACGGGAGAGATTTGACAGAGGTTACTTCTCGCCTTCACTTATCTAGGAAGCACAGTTTCAACCACAGGCAGTCAGAATGGATGAAGATGCTAAAACCAGCCAACCAGAATCGGAAAGACAAGATATGCTGTCATCAACCTGATTTCAGTTTGGAAATCTTCTGCACTCAGTCAGCATAAAGAAGGAGATTCGGATTTTCAACAGAAATATGAAGTCAGCTAGTCCTTCCATACGGGTCAGAAACTTGGCCAGCTTGTCACAAAAAGAATTTCCAACAAGTTACGGACTGTCATCAACAGGTGCCTTCGCTTACTGTATACTGAAGATGAAATGGCCGGTGAGAAAGAACTAACAACAAGAAACTCTGGTTGAGAACAAACCAACCAATAGCCGATCGCCCAACAAATATTTAGAGGTAAATGGAGATGTATTGGGCAGGCGTTGAGGAGGCCGTCGAATGACATTGTCAGATCATTGCTTGTTTGGAATCCCAATGAGAAGCCACGGGTCTGCCGTTTGAGGGGGACATGGAGAAGGTCGGGCGAAGAGAAGGAGGAGGAGAAGGAGATGAGAGATTACGGGCAATCGTGGACCCAGGTGAAAAGGAAAACATAAAATAGAAGAAAGTGGAAATATGTTGGCGTAGCCCTTTCTTCTGCTTGTAACCCAAGGGAGTAATCATGCATAATAATGATAATTTACTTAAGAATCATAGATTTCTGATTTCTTACTGACTTTTATTATTCCGGTTTCGACTTCAGCCAGTAACCGACCAATTTTTCGTGTGTGTGTGTGTGAGTGTGTGTTTCTCTCTGCCTTCCTTCATCTCATTTTCTTTTCTTTATTTTTGTGTAACAGGATAGTATTAAAAAGTTGGAAGAGAATAATTCAGAGTTGACCAAATTGAATTTGAATAATATCAAGACAATGAGTGCTGAAGTTGTCCAGCGTCTTTGTGCTGCTATTACAAAGAATACTAAATTGATTGAATTACACATGGCGGCTACTCGTTTAACAAATTCAATGATTGAACCATTCTTTGATATGCTACAAAAGAATACAACATTGAAAGTATTGAATTTAGAGTCGAACTTCCTAACGGGTTAGTTTGTCAGTACATATTATTATTATTATAATCATCCTGATTATTCCCTTGGATTCCTAGTAACACATAAGGCCTATCCATTTCATTATATTCTCTTCAGACCCAGTTAACTGACTGCACGAATGTGTATAAGCTTCCACAATTCCTTCTCACACGATTTCCTACATGTCACCCGCGGACCTATGCCCAATTGGGTTGGTTTCCCATTCCGACTGCCTTCTAGGGTCGGCGTCTGTGTCCGATCCATCGTCGTTTCCTTCGGCATATTTGTTGTGTTCGTGGTTGTCGTCTGTCTGAGTGATTGCAGTAGACTATTGATTCTCCAGTTGACATTTTGGAGAGTTCACTTTCATTTCAACTGGTGCTCTCACACATTCTTAGCCCTTCTGTACCATATCTTTCCGTTTCTTCTGCAATCTGAACTGCCTTGCCATTTTTCACACGTAGTTTGGATATTCCATGTTCCAATCATTATTTTTGGTCTCATCAGAAAAAGATACTGACTGACTGGTTTCAACATAGAACTTTGCACAGATGTGCAGCAGTTCGAGCTGCCACTCTCCGTGTAGCACACAAAGCAAGAGAAGAGTGATGAGAGATCAAAAAGAGAAATAATAAACAGAAGTGTGAGGCAAAAAGAATAATAATATGGAAGGACAATAGAGTTTCACTGGATATTATAAATTACAAGGAGTGGACACATCTGCGCCAGCCATTGACAACGAAGATTGTCTCCAGCCTTCATTGGTTCTTACCATCCCGAGGACTCCAACCAGTTAGGAAGTCTGCACCTCTCTAAGTGGCTGGCTTAAATTAACTGTTGTGGGCTTAATTGACTGATGAAACGTTGTTTTAGTTTTACGACCACTAGTTGTTTTCCAACCCGATCCTATGTCAGTCAGCTGATACTGCCAGTCGAGGAAGGCGATGGCTATGGATGCATGCGTAACACATGTCTCCTTTCTTGCATATCGAGATAATCAATGACTTGCACCAGTCTAACAGGACAATCTCTGATTCCGAGATGGTGCCTAATACCAAACAGTAAATTGTCTCCAGCGTCCTTAGACACGTCGATTCATTCCATCAGGTCCTGCTGCTTTGCCTCGTTTCAGATTAGAAACAGCTTTTGTTACCTCAGGGGCGGAGGACGGGTGTTTATGTATCATTTGGGTTTTTCTTTTCACAGCAGACTAGACAGCTTTTGGTAGAAATCGCCATTTAATTCGTCCGAACTGCAGTATCAGTTGGACATAAGTGGAAACTACGAAGAGACATCGACGGTTAACTCAGTCCTTCCTTCTCCTAACAGATCGTTTTAGACGGACACATACGATTATATACTGGGACCCAGTGAAGAAGGGATTTTTCCACCGTAACACTGAATTCTATCTCTCTACACCTGAGAGTCCTCGCGAACTAGCTGAGAAGTCTCCTGACTCCCTTAAGGTGAATTTTGCATATTCACCTTGTTAACCAGGTGGGTTTCAATTGAATAACCACACTGGGGTCTTGTATGTGTGTCTCCAAACCTCAACATGCATGCATGACATGGCTGTAGATGCGAGAGGTGTGACTGGTGATGCCTGTTGTCTGATTAGGTAGAGGGTGCTGATGACGTTGAATGCGCCAATGTTTAGCTGTCAGCGTGGCTTTGAGAGACTCCCAGGAGTGTTTTTCTGGTTGTCATCGTTATTCGTTGTGACAGAATGAGAGGAAGATGACTGCTCAGTCTGGAGAATAGTGGTGACAGTAGTAGGAAAAGAAGATGATGAGGAGTTTGTGTGGTTTTGTAAGTGTGTGGACGGTTATTACCTCCCGACTGGCCACATCGTGGAAGCTGATTTTTCGATGAAGAAAAATGATGCAGAATTTACAAATTTAATAGGTTCCATAGCAAGTCAAGGTATCAGTAGTGCCTGGACCTGCTTCTTCTGTACATGGGATTCTGGTTGTTTTTAGGTAATTACTATGACCTCTGTTGTTTGGAGTATTCAGTATCTTCATGGCTCTTGCTAAATAACAGTATAATAATAGTAAATAACAGTATAATAACAGTATAGTGAAAGGACCACTTGGTCCCAGCAAGCGAGGAGAGTCTAGTATTAAGGAATTTTTTTATCATGTGTTGAGTACCATATAAATACTGAGAGATAAATACTGATAGATTCTTTTCCACCGTAATGTATTACATTTGGTGATTCAATGTTACCTAAAACAATAATTGTTTATTATTATTATTATTATTATTATTATTATTATTATTAATAATTCCTTCACGTTCCCATTGGAACATTGGGCTTCAAACTAGAGGCTTGAAGTTTCTGTAGCAGTGTTTATTTTTACAGGATGGGGTTGCTAGCCTCAAACCCAACCGTTCCTCTTTACCAGCTTTATTTCTGGCTTAGCGAGGTAAAGGAGTGCGTCGGCCGGGAATCGAACCCCGGACCATGTGCACGGTTGGTGAGCGTCCTAACCGCTGTGCCACCGACGCACTCAATAATTGTTTTAATGATTATAAATATATAACTGTAGAACCTAATGAAAAAGTTATCGAAAAGGATATTTTTTGTAAACACTGTGTATATTGTAATTGTTCTCTCTCCGTCTCTGTCTGTCTATTCCATTTAGGTGTTATTCTTGTTCGTCTATTGGAGTCAATAGCTCATGAAAAAAGTGGTATAACTGATTTACACTTGGCTAATCAACGTCAATCTGTACTAGGTGTAAAAATTGAACAGAATTTAACTGAATTAATTTTGGCTAATCCACGACTGGTTCGTTTAGGCCTTGATTTAGACACAAGTGATGCACGTGTACGCACACGAGAACACGTCAAAGCAAATCTAGATCGTGTATCCCGACAAGTTCGACGGAATAAAAATTAACATTGATCTGTGTTTGTCTCTACACACAAGCTGCACATACACTCACATATATATAGTATATAGTACATACAAACCTGCTAAAAAGTTGATTCTGCTTATAATCCTCCTTTCATTTCATTTCTGCCTTATTTTTTGCCTATTTGTACTGTTTCGTTATATTTCTAGTAACTTATAGCCCCCCCCCCCCTTTTTAAAATTTTTTTACTGTTTTGCTTCATGATTGCTGTGGAATTAATTCATAGAATAACCTTATTTTGTTGAAAAGCCTAACAAATTGTGTGCATGTGCGTGTATGTAAAAGTGGTTGTTCAGCGTTGTCCTGTGTATGTTTTGTCGATTTTCTCTCTGTCAGACAGACAGACATTCGCCTTTGTTGTCTCTGTACACGTATCACATTGTACCTTTTTAGCTTTCATGAATCTACTACAGTGCTTATAACTCATTTCAGTACTTCTTTGTTCATCCGGTAGTCTTATTGATTCAGAGAGGGCTGTTTTTCTATCAGTATGTGATACACAAGTATTTCTTCTGTTTTTTTTCACTGTCGTTGAGTCACTCATGTGGAGGTGTGGCTCTTAGACTGTTGGTCTAGACTCTTCACTTCTCAGTATTCGATCACGCGTTTGAAACCCGCTTCACCTGCGCCGAGTTATCATCATCAACCCTCAATAATACAATAGCTATGCCTCATCATTTGCCCTAACTGTGCATGGAATTACAAATGGTTGTTGTTAGTTGGGTAACATTTCATTTTTTACATTGCCCCAACCCCAGTCCAAACACACACAAGCATACTTTCTACCCCTTCCTTGAAAATCAATATTATATAATAGACAGAAGTTCATCACCTCATATATCCGTTTAATTTCATTTACCCCCAGGATACCTCCTAGCTATCACTGTTTGTCTACTGCTTTCACATCACAAAACTATTTAGTCATTTCTCTTTCATTTTGTTTAAAACTTTCACTATTTTAGTGATTTCATGCGAATATATACTGAATTGTTGTCAGCTTTTAACTGATTATATAATAGTAATAATAATAACAACAATAATAATACTTGTTATTTTGTGCATTTGTCTTCACTGAATTCTTGACTGTTCTTTTTTTGATCTGGTTTATCAAAACAAAATAGGTGAAAGTTGGTAGTCGTTATCTTTCATGATTATTTTCGCTTCATTCTATCCTTCTCACCACCATGTGTATGCATCCTTCAGGCTCGCTTAGCACTGACAGAAATAGTAGTAGTAGTAGTCACTTAGTGCTTTCCAAATAACAGTTTGTTATTCAAGTTGTTGTTATTTTCTTCTTCTTTGTAATGCCACCTCCTGTGAGAGTAAATCAGTAGTCATCCAGTGTCTATGATTATTATTATTTAAATATATACTACACATAATCATTGATATATATTTTTCTTGATTAAAAATGCCCATTAAAATTTTCAAAAGAATAGACACGGAACAAAGAGTACTCTTTTCGGTAAATTCATCATCAGGTTCTACAATTATACATACATTATAATGAATGAATGAATTAGTCTTATGAACGACATTGATGTTTAAATAACATCAAATCAATAATATTGATAAATTACAGCTGAACAGCGTCAACATCAACTGAATGTCAGAAGAAATAGGAAAGGTAATAGTCCTCCATAATATACCGGGTGCCTAACAAACTACCAAAATCGTCGAAGCACCGCTTGCTCCAAACAGCAGAGGCTATTGCAATTCGCCTCAAACAACCAGCGCTCTGTGTCCAAAAGAAACAAGTCTAGCCCCTACTACTGCCCTGGCCCTCAGTAGAGACTATAAACTCATGAATTTGTACTATTATCTTTCCTAATTTTTCTGACATTCAGTTCATTTTATGTTGATACTGTTCAGCTGTAATTTATCAATATTATTGATTTGATGTTATTTGAACATCAATGTCGTTCATAAGGCTAATTCTTTCATTCATTATAATGTATATATAATTGTAGAACCTGATGATGAATTTACCGAAAAGAGTACTCTTTGTTCCGTGTCTATTCTTCTGAAAATATACTTTTCTGATTTTTGCTTTCTTAGTTGTAAGATATAAAGATGTGGTTCTTTAAAGGAGCTTTTGTTTAGTCTAAACTGCTTCTTAACAGTGTTATTTGGCGTTTATTCAAAAGCTATTTGATGTATGTGCATTTCTAGCGCGTCTACTCTCTTACTACTTTTGAGAATAATTTGGATTGATAGTGTGTGTGACTCTAGAGCAGTAGAAACCTGAGGCATGCACATTTCCTCCAGCCAGCTGGATTTATGTTATGACTGGAATTTATGACCTAGTAGACTATGAGCCATTACTAACCTTAATGCTCTGGTTTATCTGTACTAATAGCACGTCAACAACTATAATGTCTCCGGGCCGCAAAGACAGAAGATAAGACTGGATGTTGATAAGTGAGGTTTTACTGTCTGAAGACAACAGTCAAAAAAGGGTTGACAGAGCTTGCGTATATTATATATATATGTTTAAAATGACCTTGAGAAGCACTAATGTCACTGATAAATTAAGACAGTGAACAACCAATAGGATTCCAAAGGTCACAAGTAGGGTGTGAGAAAGTCAGGTCATAAATCAATAAGTGGAGTGAGAGAAATACAAGTGTGGTGAGAGCTGGCTGCTAGCCAAAGTTGGTAGACAGTAATTGACGTCAATGTTTGTCCCCAATATTGGTGGTGAGAAAATGAGAACAAAGGCTTTGCGTAGGCGGATACAGTTAGCATATGGATGATCTGACACAGCCACAAAGAGATGCAAGGTTAACTTTCTGTGAGAAATAATCAATAATGTACATTAAAATCTATAAATATGTGTTGATTTTCCTTAATAAACGATCTGTTGCCTGGCCCTTGTCTTCTGTTGTTACACAAACAGACATGTAGGAAATTAGGTCTGTATATATATCAGTTTACCCACCATCCTCAGTGAGTAGTGGTGTTCCCAGTCAGACTCGAACTCTACTCACGTCAATCCAAACGCCAAAGCCCCTATCCTATCCACAAGAGTTAAGAGAGAGCTCAATGGGTGTCACTTATTATTTGTTTAAGTTTTATTTTTCCGGTTGATTGTTACCTTTTTTGCAAAAGAGGTGGCTTTGTGACCTAAGTCGTCTAGTAGATAAAAGATTGATTTTGGGTTCGAGTCTCAGTGGGAATAACATCACCGGTCATCACATCCATCGAATAAACACATTCGTTCTAAAAAAATTGTTTAAGCTATCTCGTGTCAACAGATGCTGAGAATTTTCAGTCCAGTCAGGCGGTCAGTCAACGGGTAATACAAAATTGACTTCAATAGGTACTTTCGAGTATGAGTTATATTCTCAGGTGGGGAGATGTCAAAGTTGATGGTTATTTTTGATTCTATGTTTGACACTAGTGAGATGTTCAACTTCCGCGTATATTTAATAGTACTGTGATGATAAAATACTTCTGGCAAAATATTTAAATCTTTCGAAACAAAGTCTTAGTGTTAGTCACTGACTGCTAATAACAAGTTTTGGAAATATCAGCAAATTAAAGAAACATACGAATAGAAGATCACAAGGTCTGAGAAGAGCCTTCGAAACGAACTTCAAGGCGTAGCTAGGCTAGGCTGTTTATTCACCGATTAAACACAATACCTCCTTGCGAAATAAAATACAAACTGCCTAAAATTTCCATGTATTCAAGCGTTGGCTTCAAGATTTCATGATGAACTGACATCGGTTAGAGAACCATTGGAAAACCTGGGAGTACTGAACAGCTGTTTCGTTCTAGTCTGTGACTTTTCAACAGTACGCATCTGCCGGGGTTCGAAACCAAGAACATTCCGGTTTCAAGGCGAGCTCATAGACCATACGCTAGTGGTTGGGCCATATCGTGAATTGACAGAAGTTGTAATTCATACACTGGATTGGGTCCCAGTGGTTTAATGTCCTATGAGCTTGCCTTGTAACAAGAAAGTCCTGGGCTCCAACAGTGGTGGGTGCGTTCTGATGAAGAGTCTCAAATTAGGCCGACAGCACAGTTGTCCAGTATACCCTAACTGGTTTTCCAATGGTCCTCTAACCGATGTCAGTTCAAGATGAAATCTAACTGCTCCTGCGGAGTTAATCGCGTTGACTTGCAAAATCTCAGCATATGGAACTTTGCACAGAAGTACAGCTGTTCAAGGTGCCACGCTCCATATAACGCACAAAGTTAGAGAAAAAGCAGAGATTTAAAAGAACTGTACTAAGCAAAATGTACGAGAGAAACAGTAGTAGCATAGAAAATGAACGAGCTTCTAATTGGAAGGGGGAAATTACCGAGATTCATGAATAATCCCCATCCAGACATTAATGAAAAAGAAAACACGTAGTCCAGCGAAGAGTCTCTTTCCGAAGGCGAATTAATTCACTTAGCTGTACAATCACAATTACATATGACTATTTCTGTATGTGTGTACATTACCTTTGTAAGACGAGAATAAAAGTTAGTAAGGGTTTTTGCTTACGCCATCAAAATAGTTTTAAAAATGTGATAAATAGTCAAATTGTAACTAGGTGAGGGAATATTAGTGTGAGGGTAGCGGTACTGAGTTGTCAAAAAACACAGTTGTTAATGTTAGTCACTGCATAAGAAAAGTTGAATAAGTAAGTGTATTGTGGTTGCGTAATAAGATGAATAATTTAATGAGTGAGTTTTGATGAGGATGTACATAGAAAAGAAGAAAAATACGGAATCAAAGTTCTAAAGAAACACTAGAGTTATAAGGAGTTAGAGAAGCAGTCACATAAACATCAAGTCAGTAAAAATCAACACGGTTTTTACCATGATAGTAGAAACTGTTGAATGGTTTTCTTTAGTATTTATAACTGGTTTTCCAACTGAATATCTAAGGCTTCAGCAATACAAAGGCGAATTGCCTAGGTTATTCTTGACTTTATAGATTACTTTGAAGGAAGCGCTTGTTGAGATGGAGTGGTTAGTGTTGACAAGGTGTTCGATGGTCGAATCCGTTTGGATAGGATATTCTTCGAGCGACCAATGCAGCTGGCTCCACAGCAATCGGTGAACTGATATAAGCACAAAGAAGTGGTCGGATGAGAGATCTTGTCCTTAAGGCTTCTGCATCCCAACGGACGACTGGAGAACATAACTCTCAGCGTCGCTATGAAGAATGTTCTCCTCAAAGATGCTGAAATTCTCTTAAGGATGTCGCAGGCTAAGTCTTCTTTGAAATCCAGGTTCATGTGAAGTTTCTTTTTTAGGAACTCGTAATTTTTCGTTTCTCTGGACTTTTAGTCTGAGATTCTTGTCGATGAATCTTGCTAGTTATCCATTTTGAATGAAGGTTTCTTTCAGAAGATCCAGTTCTGCTTCTATGGAGTCAGGACTGCAGGTGCTTCGGATCCCAGTTGCAAGGGATTGTATTGGATTTCGTTTACAGAGAGAATGCATCCGCACTATTGAGAATGATTTTGAACCATATCACCAATAGTCTTCAGTAGCTGATTTTTAGAATCTTGAGGACCCCAGCCAGCCAGTCTACACCTCTTGCCCAATAGTTGTATTAAGTACGTCCACCCACGAATTTACTTATCACCTTTTATCCAACCTTACTCCCTACTCCCCCAAGTCCTTTGAGCAGGAGCAATCGGAGTTCATTTGAGTTATTGAAAAGATGGTTGCAGCGAAAAAAAAATTTTCTTTTCACCAAAGTCACCAACTACACTGTACATTCGTGTAATTATAATAAACGTGTCGGAAAGTTCCAGAACTATCACAAAGTGTAGTAAACAGGAAAATCGGGTAGAAAAGACATAATAAGAACATAATAAATGAAAAAATTGACTGTTTTTACAATTACGGGTTAAGGACATAATGATAACAAAATAGGTAGGAAGTTCGGATTTGGAAAAACAAATAAATTTATTAATGCAGATAGGAATTAAAAATGTTAAAAATTAACTGAAATAAACAGGAAGGTTGGATAAGAAAGGTAATAGGATAATCATTATCGATGACTGACTTTTCATGATGGTCACGGTAGGGACGACAGTTAGACGCATTTCTTTTGGACACAGCGTGGGCGTGAGCTTTTGGACCGCCAGTGCCTCAGCTATTCATAGATGTCTTGATTTCACTCCCTTTGATAGGTTTGATGGGATCTTGTATATGACTTCGAAGGATTTTATTTTGATAAATCACACAGTGTTGTACAGTTATATTAACTGATGACGTTTCGAGCACAAGATATTGCTCATAATCATATCAAGTTGATATGATTATGAGCAATATTTTGTGCTCGAAACGTCATCAGTTAATATAACTGTACAACACTGTGTGATTTATCAAAATAAAATCTTAACCATTATGGAGTTAT